GGAAGTGTCACCTCCTTGGACCTATTCGTCATGCATCTGCTGATGTACGATAAAGTGCCATTGGCTTTTTTGATGGCTTCGTCACACTGCCGACTCATGTTCATCTTGGAGTCCACTAGGACTCCAAGATCCCTTTCCACTTCCGTGCCCCCCAGCAGGTCATTCCCTAGGCTGTAGGTGTGCTGGACATTTTTCCTCCCTAGGTGCAGCACTTTGCATTTCTCCTTGTTGAACTGCATTCTGTTGTTTTCTGCCCACTTGTCCAACCTGTCCAGATCTGCTTGCAGCTGTTCCCTGCCCTCCGGCATGTCCACATCTCCCCATAGCTTTGTGTCATCTGCAAACTTGGACAGAGTACATTTCACTCCCTCGTCCAAGTCACTGATGAAGACATTAAAGAGTATCGGTCCAAGGACCGAACCCTGCGGGACCCCACTTTCCACACCCTTCCAGGTCGAAACCGACCCATCCACCACGACTCTCTGGGTGCGACCCTCCAGCCAATTCGCCACCCACCGGACTGTGTAGTCATCCACGTCACAGCCTCTTAACTTGTTCACCAGTATGGGGTGGGATACCGTATCGAAGGCCTTCCTGAAGTCTAAGTATATGACATCCACCCCTCCTCCCCATGGGGCAGGGGAGGGGCCGCTTTCCCCCCCGCGCTCAGCTTTTCCCTGGACTCCTTCCGTGCGCGGAGAAAAGTGGCCCCTTGCCCGCCCCGTGGCCAGCGCTCCCTGCTGCAGGCGCTTAAAGCCTGCACGGGGCTGTCTGGAGCAGGCACAGGCAGCCCCATGTGAGCTGCGAGCAGCTGCAGCTTGGGGCACCAGGCAAAATACAGCCCGCGGGCTAGATGCAGCCCGCAAGGCCACTCTATCTGGCCCGCGGGGCCCCTAAAAATGTAGAAAATTAATATTTCTCTGCCCTTGGTTCCTGTAAAAAATGAGAGGAACCAAGGGCAGTAGGACTCAGGGGAAGCCCAGATCAGGAGTCAGCAGGGCAGGCCCTATGAGGAGAGGCTAAAGGACCTGAACCTGTTCAGCCTTCACAAGAGAAGGCTGAGGGGCGATCTAGTGGCCGTTTACAAACTAGTCAGGGGGGACCAGCAGGCATTGGGGGAGTCCCTGTTCCCCCGAACACTACCAGGAGTGACAAGAAGTAACGGTCACAAGCTGGCAGAGGGTAGATTAAGGCTAGATATCAGGAGGCACTACTTCACTGTCAGGGTGGCTAGGATCTGGAACCAACTTCCAAGAGAAGTGGTGCTGGCTCCAACCCTGGGGGTCTTTAAGAGGAGGCTGGATGAACACCTTGCCAGGGTCATTTGACTGCAGTACTCTTTCCTGCCATGGCAGGGGGTCAGACCTGATGATCTGCTCAGGTCCCTTCCGACCCTACCAACTATGAAACTATGACTTCTTTATGTTAAATTAAAACGCTAAATGGCACTTTATAACTAAACAAAGTTAATTCTCTGCACAAAGTACTTTATATTTTTGCAGGGTTTTCCTTGTCAGTGCACCAGACAACTGTGCATTTCTTTACCTGTCATTACAGGTAGGGGAAAACAGGTAGGGGAAAATTTACAGAAGGGAAAATATACACATTTGTTCCCTTATGACAACTATGAAAGAGGATTTCAGGGCTCAGATCCTTATTTGCATGAGTGACACTTACTCATGCAAGTGTGGAATTAATGGAATTGTTTGCAGGAGCTAGGATTACTCATGTATGTAAGGGTATGTTGAATCATGTCCTTTCTGGCGTGTTGTTCTCATGTCATCTGTTCCAAAAGGTAGATCAACTTTTTATTCTTTTTTGTAGAAAGAACAAAATTAATGTGATGATTTTTTTTAGACATATTAATGAAAGCAATATTTGTTTGGACATTTACTTCCCTTTGTGTGTTTGTAACCCCAAACCTGCAGTGTTGTGTGAGAACTAGAAAGGGAAAAGGACCAGTCTGTGTAGAGGTGTTAAACACCCGGCTTGCAGGCCTACACAGATCAGAGGGGCTGGGAATTCAAGGCAGTGAGAAGCAGGGTTTGCATCTGAATTCTCAGTGAAGGAGCCCCATTTACCCCTGCCCTGCCACTGCTGCTGTGTGTCCCACCACTGCCAACTCTGAATCTGGCCCAGGAGGCTCTTTGTCTCCAGAGTGGGTCTGAACAGCAGCGATGAGTCTGACAGCCAGTTCTAGTGCAAATAAAGTTGGAACCAAAAAAAAAAGTTAAAGAAACATTCAGCAAAAATGGGGAAACACACACTTTAAACATTCAGTGGTAAGTTACATAAATGCTACAGAAGGGATTTCTTTAGACTATTTCATAGCCAGCATCCTTTTTATGTATTATTGTGTTTAATTGTTAATTAAAATTACTTAAACCTACATCTTGTTCTCTACTAAATTGTAAGAATCTTACAGTTAGTTTAATTTTGAGCCTAAGCTATTCAATTGTGTCCCCTTAGAACAGGGGCGGGCAAAATCTACCCTGCGGGCCGTATCTGCCCTGCCAGGCACTTTCATCAGGCCTACGGTGCACCCCCAACGAATAGTGCCCAGCCCTTCCACCCATGAGAGTGGGAGCAAGGTGCCTATACCAGCCCCCAACCTATCCTATTATCCCTGGCTCCCTTGTGGGCGGAAAGGCCAGCCTCGCTATCATGAGACAGGCTGCTGCTGCAGGCTCCCCCCACATCCTGCTCCCCCTAGGCAGCAGATAGGGAAGTGGGGGGGCTGGGCTGCAGCTGGGCAGGAGCATGGAGCATGGGACTGAGGCTGGCTGCAGTGTGAAGCCCTTGCAGCTTGGGTGGGCAGGTCTGGGTGTGTGGAGGAGGAGCATGGGGACCCCTTCCACACTCCCCCCCATGGTGTGTGGGAGGCTGCTGGCAGGCAGCAGGGGGGAGGGGGCAGCAGCAACAGCAGCGGGGGTGGGGCATGCTCTGCTTGGTACAGAGCCTGGATCCTGGCTCCAGCCAGCCCTGTGAGAAGTGCAGCCCCTGCTGGGCCGTTTGTTTCCCCAGCACTTGCAGGGCGCAGGAGGGAAGCCCTAGGTACTGGGGAGGGCTGGGGCAGGGAAAGCAGCTGACTCCAATGCCTGGGGCTTCCCTTCTGTGCCCTGCCAGTGCTGGGGGAGTGCCAGGGAAACAAATGGCCCGGCGGGGGCTGCGCTCCTGCTGTAATGTGGAGCACTGGTCACAGCCAGGCACCAGTGCCCCCACCTGCTGCTGCACCATGGGGGCAGTGTGAGGGGGTCTCCACATCCCTGCCTCACACCCCACAAACCACACACAGACACACACGCCCCTCCCCACAGTGTTGCCTGCAGTTACTGCAGGAGAGGACAGTGTGTTCCAGAGCCACACACCCACACCTGCCACAACCCCAGCATACCCTATGCCCCCCACAACTGCCACACAACCCCCAACATCCCCTATGCCCCCACACAACTGCCACAACCCCCCAACATACTCTATGCCCCCTCACAACTGCCACACAACCCCCAACATCCCCTATGCCCCCACACAACTGCCACAACCCCCCAACATACTCTATGCCCCCTCACAACTGCCACACAACCCCCAACATCCCCTATGCCCCCACACAACTGCCACAACCCCCCAACATACTCTATGCCCCCTC